TTTGATGTGAAAATAAGCTGATAATGAGATGTCTTATACTTATTCTTTTTTTGCCCTTCCATAATTATTTACTTCAAGGCAAAATACTACAAGGAGAATTGCAGGATCCAAGTGCTCCATAAATTGTGGAGCGTCACGGGAACTCCACACATATATACCACTCAGCTGAATCAGGGACATTGACAGTGAAGTCACCGATGATTTGGCTTATTTGTTCAGAAACACTTATTAAATGCCTTTTGTGGGGCCTGCCCCATGGTGTAGTGGTTAAGTGGATTTGCTCCACTGCTGGCGGCCCGGGTTCTAATCCCGGGTGTGCGCCTTCGCACCATGTGTCAGGCCATGCTGTGGCGGCATCCCGCATAAAAAATGGAGGATAATGGGCACGGATGTTAGCTCGGGGCCAGTCTTCCTCAGCAAACAAAAAAGAGGAGGATTGGCATGGATGTTAGCTGAGAGCTGATCTTCCTCACACACACACACAAAATAAAAAATAAAAAAATAAATGCCTTTTGCATACTAGGAACTCTTAAACATTGGAGATGTAGCAATAAACCAAATGTGCCAAAAACCCTCATGGAGTTTTATTCCTGTGAATAATGATGAGTGTGGTATCCATTCCTTTAAAAATGTAAATACTTTAACTAATTGGGGATAATAAATGTAAGAAAATGTAACAACATAGTGTTACATCAGTAATACGTGCTGGGTTGATTATATATTTTATTGGGGAACATGTTCTGTTAAGTAAATAGAAACCCAGGAGAAATGCTAATAAATAACACCTGATGGGTCTACAAAGTTGGGACAGGAAGACAGACAAATACACATACCTTCTAACTACAAAGTCTCTGTCCCCTCCCTTCACTTGTTTTCCAAGAGAAGGTGGAGATAATTTATCTCACTTGATGAGGGCGAGAAAAAAGCCCAGAATGATTGGCTCCAGCCATTGTGAGCTTCTTATTTCCTGGGACCAATCTGTCCACAGGAAGCATGCATTCTTGCTGCTTGCTGCCATGCAGTAGCTTCCTCCTTCCAAGTCTCACACATACGTGTCTGCTTGGCAAAACCAGGGTCACATGCAGACCCTGGAATGCAAGGTGGCCTGGAAAATAACGTTTTTAGCTATCCAGTCTTTGCAACTCAGGAAGGTAAGCTAGAAGAGGATTAAAATGGGTGTGTGTTAGATCAAATCTCTCCCATACTCTCCTCCACAGTCCACCCCTTTGAAGATGGACTTCTTCCAAACTTCAAATTCCAAATGACAGCAGAAACAACATCTTCCTGCTAAGATAATACAACCATCCCTCATCTCAACAGAAACACACCCACCCTCTTCCCAAATGGGCAAATAAAAAGTCTTCTCAGTCACGCCATTCCTCTCTGAATTATTCCTTCTATGGGTCAGCCACTCCCTTGTCTATATTTTGTAACCCAGGGAATAAAATAAAATTTTAAACACCAACAAAATACCTTATATACGGTACCTACCATTTCCCCTACCATAATGGTAGGGGAAAGAGATAAGGATTAAGTGAAATTTGGATAGATGAATGGATGGAGTGAGAGAGGGATATCACAGGAAAAGTGGTGAGTGCTGACTAGAGTCCTCCTTTCTGCCATGGATGTGAGGTCATGGCTGGTTTTCGTAACTTATTTCTTTTTTTTTATTGAGGTAACATTGGTTTATAACATTAAATAAATTTCAGGTGTACATCTTTAAATTTCGATTTCTGTGTAGATTACACCATGTTCACCACCCAAAGACTAATTACCATCCATCATCATACACACATGCCCAGTCACCCCTTTCGCCCTCCTCTCTCCCTGTTTCCCCTCTGGTAACCACTATAACTTCTTTCTTGAACTGCCCATTGCATGCTCCCTTTGCCATCTGCCAGTGTTTCTAGAAGGTAGGTGGTCTTTATCTGGTGGGACGATCCCAATCTTTGTTCCTAAGGAGACTGAACCTTAGCAGTCCTGCTTATATGGAGCTGCTCTTATCTTCCATGAACTTTTAATCTCTGGACTGGGTAACAGCAGGAGGCACTCTAGAGAATTTCCCCAATTCTAGGCATATACTCTCCTATATCACAGCAACAGAATAATGTATTACTGCACATCCGTCAGCATGAGGAGGCTGTATCAGTTTGCTAAGGCTGCTGTAACAAAGTACCACAGGTGGAGTGGCTTAAAAAGCAGAAATTTATTGTCTCACAGTTCTGAGGCTACAAGACCAAGATCAAGGTGTCAGCAGGGTTGGTTCCTTCTGAGGGCCATGAAGGAAGGATCTGTTCCAGGCCCCTCTCCTTGGCCTGTAGATGGCCATCCATCTTGTCCCTGTGTCTTCACATTGTCTTCCCTTTATACATATCTGTGTCCAAATTTCCTCTTTTAAAGAACCAGCCATATTGGATTATGGCCCACCCTAACGACCTCATTTAAACCTAATTACCTCTGTAAAGACCCCTGTCTCCAAATACAGTCACATTCTAAGGTGCAGGGGGTTAAGATTTCAACATGAATTTATTTGTGAGAGACACAATTCAGCCCATAAAAGAAGCCAAATTGACCAGGAGGCAGTCTCAACTTCCATTTAATGCAACACTTATACTCACTTACATAGGTTTTCCTTTCTTGGGTATTAAGCCTTATACCAAAACATCCTCATTTGCAGGAGCAGGAAATAAATATTTTGCAAATGGGTCAGAATAACGGAAAATGTCCTCCACCCCTTGGTTCCTTGACCAGTGTAATCTGGCTAGAGTAGAAACAACACCTTAGATAGGTTCATGCAGGACAGAGTCCAAACCTCTTGAAGTGCTGTCCCACAAATGGCACCATAACTGAGTCTCCAATAGGCCACTCTCCATTCTTTAATTCTAGGTGGTTAAACATACATAAGGCCTGTAATTCCAATAAGCACATCCACTGCCTTGTCTTTTACTTTAAAAAGAACTTTTGGTCACAGACAGTGATGCGTGGGATACTGTGATGAGGAATAAGGCTGTCAATCAGGGGCGATTGTGGCCCCAGTGGGCATTCAGCAATGTCTGGAGACGGTACTAGATGATACTGGTATCTAGTGGGTAGAGGACAGGGATGCTGCTAAACACCCTACAGTACACAGGGCAGCCCCCACAACAAAGGATCATCCAGCTTCAAATGTCAATAGTGTCAAGGTTGAGAAACACTGTTCTGACCATACAAGTGAACTAGCAAAGAACCCAACTGAAGTGTGATCAGGAAAAGAGGACTGCTTATCACTACCCCTTTTCTCCTTGGACTCAGAGCCCTCTCTTTGTGCTTAACAATGGCATGGGGAAAAGAAAGAAAATCCACAAGAAGGCAAAAGTAATGAGAGGCAAAGGAACAAGTACGTGAACTTAGAGGGAAGATACGGGAAGGAGACTAGGAGGGCTTGTGTGGTAATGGATGAGGACATGCGAGGAGGAATCTAAGTTACATGTAAAAGGGTTAAATTAAATCTGAGTGTCCAGGAAGTTCTTGGGTATACAGATCTCTTGTACCCAGGAATACCAGTAATTTTCTTTAAACTCCTTGTAGTCAGGCTTGGTTCATATAAATTAACGTGTGGATCCACCTGGCTTCACCAGTCCCAATTGATGCCATTATGGATGGAAGGGACTTTGACCTTGGGAATGGTGGCATTCCCTCTAGGGACATGTGAGAATGCCTTGAGTTTTAGAGTTTACTGCTTTTATTCCTTTCCCTGCCCTTTGGTAATGCCGAAGAAAGTCAAACACACACACAGGAAGGAGAGAGAGCAAAGTAAGTGAGGCAACACATTGACAAACATATTATTTTGGACAGAAAATTATATATAAGCAAATTTATGTATTATAATTATCTGTGTGGGATTGGAAGAAAATATACCAAAATACTAATAGTGGAATTATAGATATATTTCTATTTCTTTTTTATACTTTCCTTGTTTTCCCCTTAATGCTAAAAACAACACTTAAAAAAAAATCTCGTACATACAGTTCTGATTGTTTTTCTCTTTGCTCTCTCTTCTTTCCCACATCTACTCTGCCTAACTTTGCCCCATATTTTATACATCACCAGGCTTTTCTTATCTCTTTGCACCCACAAAATCCTCTCAACTTTCACATGTCCACTCATGCGGCCTATTGACACTGGGAACTTTATAGGCTGTTTAAGCCTTGGCCACCAGGTTATGTGCATTTACTAAGATGGGTTTATTCTTATTTATATTAATAACATAAGCAACATTGTAAAGTGTTTTGGAATTTTCAAAATCACCGTCATATCATTTTTGAATATACTGCATTTCCCATGCCATCCGGCAATTATACCCTGCAATTCCTGGAAGAATGTTCAAATACAGTTGATTGCTAGATGTCAGATTTTACCAGTACCCAGTCACAAACACATGTGGAAACCAGTCAATACTACATGAAATGGCTGAGTTTTTATTTTAATAAGTTTACAAAAGAAAGGCATACATGAATTTGAGGAACAAAAAAAATGTAATTCAAATCCTTTACATAACATAAGCAATTTGTATATACAGTATCAAAATATACCAAGATACTCTTCACACTAAAGTAATGGTTCTCAAGTTTTCTGGAGCATTGGCTCTCCATCAACTGCTGGATCGTGCCCCCAGAGTTTCTGACTCAGTTGGTCTGGAGTGGGACCCAAAACGTTGCATTTCTAATCAGTCCCTGGCTGCTGCTGCAGCTGCTGGTGTAGGAACAACATTTCGAAAACAACTCCATTACTACCTGAAAAGCACCTTTCTAATCTTGTAGGAGAGAATGATCCGGATCAGCATGAGCTATGGGATCAAGGTGTCTGCTGCAGAGTTAGAAGACATATTTCCCCACAATAGGTGTTTCTATTTGAGCTTCCTCTTGAGCTACTTGTCTCTCCATCTCAGGGTAGGGTTCAGAATTTTCCTTCCATGGAGGTAGTGTGACTGGGTGAGGCAGTCAAGAGATTTGTGCAAGGAGTCATCTTCCTCTTGTTCCTCCTGAGTAAGGGAGCATCCCTACCTCTGTTCTAAGTACCTGGGAATTCTTTGCCTTTCCTAATAGCGCCTCAAAGATCTCATTGTGCATGTAAAAGAAGATATACCCAGTGCAAAGCCTAGCCTTCTGCATCACGGACTCTTTGATTTGCGACACTCGTAAATCACTGTATGTGAACCAGGCCTGCCTCTGAAAGTCATAAACATCGCTGATGTAATGGCCTGAGTTTGGGGAGTGCCCAAGATGGCTGACCACACTGACGAGCCGGTAGGCATGAAGAGGATCTCCCATCTTGGCATTTCTTTTCAGTTCCCTGGCTTCAGCTTCTGTGTTCTCTGTATCTAAAATTTCTTTGCTTCCAGGGTTCTTGTCAGAACCCAGTGCACCAAGGGAATTCAGGTTAGCCTTCTGATGAATATTGAGGTCCTTCTCTGTGTGTTCCTGGGCATTCGGCTTCCCAATGCTTGGAGTCGGTTCCTGCTGAAGGAATTCCTCATAGATTCTCTTCCCATCATGCTGCTGGAGTTGTTCAGCCATTCCTTGAGGTCTTTCTGGAATCCTGTTTTCTTTATCCTCATGAAAGTCTTCAGTAGTCTCAGTGACACTGTCAAAGCCTAACTCTATAAATGCTTTGGTTTTCTCATATTTCTTAAGTTCTGGATTGTCAGGTACCTCTTGAAGATGACTCTCTACAAGACCTGTGTGTGGGCTGCTGGTAGGTTTACCTCCACCTTCACAGATCATAGGAAGAGAAGTATCTTCTTGATCCATCGAGTCAGCTGCTGGCAGCTTCTTTTCACTGACTGTCCTATCTCCTGAGTTTACCAGTTCTGACTCTATTACATTCAGTTTAGAACCATTTTCCAGGTCTGTCTGCTGCTGTTCTTGGCTTGACTCTTCACAGATTTTCTGATCATTTTGTGGTTCGGCATCCTTGTCTGATCCAATTTGTAAAGCCAGGGAATCACTGGATTCTGGGATCAACTTTACTGAAGGTGTCGATGGGCTGATGACCTCAGAAGTCATCTCTTGCGAGATTTTCAGGACTTTGGAGTCCCCAGTAGGTGCATTTCTACCCAAGAGAAGAGGTGGTTTGGTGCTATCATTGCAATGAGAAGATAAGCTTAAATACTTGGGAATATGGACTCGATGGTTATCCTTCACTAGCAACCAAACACCATTAAAGCTATATCGTTTCAGATGAACAATAAGGACCCTGGGAAGCCTACTGAATTTGTGCATTGCAACAGAACTCGTGTGCCTGCACCTCTCACAGTTATACTCAAGTTCTTCTGCTCTAAAGAAAAGATCAAAGGAATTTTGAATAGAGAAAGGAAGTGGTTTTGTTTCTTGGGGAAGGTTGATGGAGAGATAATTACTTGGTTCTGCCTTGAGAACAACCCAACCACAGCCTTTACAAATAATGGAGCGCTGCAATTCAAACTCAAAATTAGCAACAACAGGACAAACAAATACTTTGGCGGCAGCATTACCAGCATACATGTGCGGAGATGAATTTTCATCCCCAAGTTCTCTCTCAGTCCTCAAAGTGCTGTTTAATTTTTCCATGTCCTCTTTCAGCCTATCTAAACAGTGACCTAAAAACTCATGAGCATCATTCTGCATGTTGCCAGAGAATGTCTCTGAAACCACTGAAATGGCACTTTTAATATTTACAAGTAACTCTTTCTTGGTCCGTATGTTACAAACATCTTTTAATACCAGTAACTGGCTGAAGAGCATAACCAGAGCACGGAATGGAATTTTCTTCCACGGGACACCTTGCATGAGTAAGTCATCCGCAAACGATGGAATCGCAAATAGGGACTGTAAAATTGCATTCATGTAACAGGTGTTTCCCAAATTGGGAAAGCCTTGCCATAGTTGTTCTGGGTGAGAGCCAAGAGACTCCTGGGGTTCATTCCATCCTGGGTCATTCTGACTATATATTTGTTCTGATGGAAATTCCAAACTTCTTTTGGAAGAGAGAGGCTGGACTGAAAGAACAGGCTTATCTAGGCTAGGATTTTCAGGAGAGATGGTCCAGCGTGGAGGTTCATATTTTGAATTTCTATTCCTTCTTAAATCTTTTAAATTCAATGGTTTCTTCTCATTGCTGCTTACATACTTAAAGGAATCTGCCTTCATTTTCTTGTTTAGCATGGGGTTATTTTCTTCCTGGAGGCCCTCATTCATCTCTAGACCATATGATAGCGTTCTTTTCCACTTTCCACCTTGATTTCCTGATAGCCCTGTTGTGACAAGCATTGGTGATTTTAACATTAATGAAGACACCTTCTGAGGGAAAGGTGTTTCACTTCCTTTTTCTATATTAAATGATCCATAATTTGGCTTGTCACAAACTTTGTGAAATGGAGTTTTGTCAATTTCTTTCTGTGTATTCCTGCTGTCAAAAACACCCCAATCATTATCATATTTCATAGGTGATTGGAATTTGTTTTGATGGACTTTGTCCAGGAACATCTTCAACTGCTCAGCATCTCTGTAGGATAATTTGTCAATAAACAAGGAGCTATTATTTTTCAAAGTTAAATTCAGGCAACTTTGTCTCTCTCCATCATGTCTAAGGACCACACTTGTAATATTATTACTTAGCTGAAAAACCCTTATAAATTCTCCAGAGTTGAAAATGACCACCAGGCTAGTTTCCTTTTTTCCTTCCACTGTTTTGATGGATACTTCTCTAGATTTAGTTACCCCAGTCTTCTTGCTCCAAATTTGGATAAAACCATGTATCTTTAGAGGAGCCATCCTTTCTTTACAAATCAAACTCATGTAACCTAAATAAAAAAGCACACATATACACTTTAATCCAAAATTTATTGGATTAAACCAATATGGAAAACCTTATGTAATAATAATTTTCTTTTAGTCTTCTCCTTATGCCTTAGGTAAAAGACATTTTGGGGGAACTACTTATATTCTGAAGCTATGCCAATTCTCTAGAAGATGTAAATTCAGAACACATCCTTTTTCAAGGTAGCTGTTAGGAGGGGAGGAAGATGAAGGATGGCTTAAATAGAGGATATATAATCAAGTGAGATTCATCCCTGGGGTGCAAGGATGGTTCAACATATGCAAATCAATAAATGTGATACATCGCATTAATAGAATGAAAGGCAAAAATCACATGATCATCTCAATAGATGCAGAAAAAGCAGTTGACAAAATTCAACATCCATTGATAATAAAAACACTCAACAGGGCCGGCCCCGTGGCTTAGCGGTTAAGTGCTCGCGCTCCGCTACTGGCAGCCCGGGTTCAGATCCCGGGCGTGCACCGACACACTGCTTGTCCGGCCATGCTGAGGCCTCGTCCCACATACAGCAACTAGAAGGATGTGCAACTATGACATACAACTATCTACTGGGGTTGGGGAAAAAAAAAGGAGGAGGATTGGTAATAGATGTTAGCTCAGAGCTGTTCTTCCTCAGCAAAAAGAAGAGGATTACCATGGATGTTAGCTCAGGGCTGATCTTCCTCACAAAACAAAACAAAACAAAACAAAACAAAACCTCTCAACAAATTGGATATAGAAGGAATGTATCTCGACAGAATAAAGGCCAAATATGACAAGCACACAGCCAACATCATATTCAATGGTGAAAAGTTGAAAGCATTTCCTCTAAGACGAGAAAAAAGACAAGAATGCCCCCTCTCACCATTCCTGTTCAACACAGTGCTGGAAGTCCCAGCCAGAGCAATCAGGCAAGAAAAAGAAATAAAAAGCATCCAAATCAGAAAGGAAGAAGTAAAATTTTCTGTTTGCAGATGACATGATCTTATATACAGATAATTCTAAAGACTTCACCAAAAGACTGTTAGAACTAAGAAACAAACTCAGTGAAGTTGCAGGATACAAAATCAATATACAAAAATCAGTTGTGTTCCTATAAACTAACAAAGAATTATCTGAAAAAGAAATAAAGAAAGCAATCCATTTACAATAGCATCCAAAACAATAAAATAGGAAGAAATTTAACCAAGAAGGTGAAAGATCTGTACAGTGAAAACTATAAGACATAAGAAGAAACAAATAAATGGAAATATATCCTGTGTTCAGGGATTGGAAGAATTAATATTGTTAAAATGTCCACACTACCCAAAGTAATCTATAGAGTCAATGCAACCTCTACCAAGATTCCAATGGCATTTCTTACAGAAATAGAAAAAAACCCTAAAATTCATATGGAACCACAAAGACCCTGAATAGCTAAAGTAATTCTGAGAAAGAACAATGCTGAAGGAATCACACTTCCAATTTCAAACTATATTACAAAGCCATAATAACCAAAACAACATGGTACTGGCATGAAAACAGACACATAGATGAATGGAACAGAATTGAGAACCCAGAAATAAACCCATGTGTATATGGTCAATTAATATTTGACAAGGGAGCCAAGAATACTCAATGGAGAAAAGATAGTCTCCAAAAAATAGTGCTGGGAAAACTGGACACTCACAAGCAAAAGAATGAAACTGGACCCCTACCCTACACCATTCACAAAAATTAACTCAAAATGGATTAAGACTTAAATGTACGACCTGAAACCATAATACTCCTGGAAGTAAACGTAAGGAAAAAGTTCCTTGACATTCATCTTGGCAATGATTTTATGGCTACGACACCTAAAGCACAGGCAACAAAAGCAAAAATCAACAAGTGGCCAGGGGCCAGCCCTGTGGCATAATGGCTAAGTGCACACGCTCTGCTGCTGGCAGCCCAGGTTCGGATCCCGAGCGCGCACCAATGCACACCCTGTCAGGCCATGCTGTGGCGGCGTCCCATATAAAGTGGAGGAAGATGGGCACAGATGTTAGCCCAGGGCCAGTCTTCCTCAGCAAAAAGAGGAGGATTGGCATGGATGTTAGCTCAGGGCTGATCTTCCTCACCAAAAAAAAAAAAAAATCAACAAGTGGGACTACATCAAACTAAAAAGTTTCTGCACAGCAAAAGAAACAATCAAAAAAATGAAAAAGCAACCTATGGAATGGGAGAAAATATTTGCAAACCACATATCTGATAAGGAGTTAATATCCAAAATATATAAGGAAATCATACAAATCAATAGCAAAAAAAACAAATAATGATATGATCCAGCAATTCCACTTCTGGGTATATAACCAAAGGAACAGAAATCATTACTCTCTTAAAGAGATATCTACACCCTTATGTTCACTGCAGCATTATTTACAATAGCCAAGACTTGGAAACAACCTATGTCCATGGACTCACAAATGGATAAAGAAAATGTGGTATAAATATACAATGGAATATTATTCAGCCATAAAAAGAAGGAAATCCTGCCATTTGTGACAACATGAATGAATATTTAGGAGATTATACTAAGTGAAATGTCAGACATAGAAAGACAAATACTGTATGATTTCACTTATATGTGGAATCTGAAAAATCATAGAAACAGAGAACAGATTGATGGTTGCCAGGGGTAGGGGGTGGGGGGAATGGGGAGATGTTGTTCAAAGGGCACAAACTTCCAGTTATAAGATGAATAAATTCTGGGGATATAATGTACTGCATGGTGGCTACAGTTAACAATACTGTATTACATACTTGAAAGTTGCAAAGATAGTAGATTTTAAAAGTTCTCACCACACACAAAAAATTGTAACTATGTGAGGTGATGGATGTGTTAAATAACCTTATTTTGGTAATCATTTTGCAATCTATACGTCTATAAAATCCCTACGTTGTACACCTTAAACTTACACAATGTTATATGTCAATTATATCTCAATAAAACTGGAAAAAAGAACAAGAAAAAAAGTACATGCACCTCATGCCTGAAAACTGGGTTAAATGTATGGGAATTTAAGTTGCGTCTGAGGCCCCATGGGTAGAACTTTAAGGGGCACTGAGGTTTATTCAGAATAGGAAGCAGTGGGACATGGGGAATGGATAGAATAAATTGGTGCCTGCTCAGAGTTTGTGTTATCAATTGGTGAGACTTTTTTTACATATGTAAATTGGCATATTGGTAGCAACAGAAAGACCCATCTCTTGGAATTACTTGGAGGGTTACAGGACAAAAACACATACAAAAAATCAAATACAGTGCCTCATCAAGAATAGGTACTTAGTGAATGTTAACTCTTCCCCCAGTGACTCCAAAGTTAGGAGCTGTATCAGGCCAAATGCTTGTTACTTACCTGGGCTATACTGAAGACTCAATTTGTTTTGCAAGTTCCTCTCAGGAGGCAACACCAAGGTAACGGTTCTATTTAAATCTGTAGATGAAAATATTCAAATAAGTGTGAAATTCCAAAGATCGTGGTTACAATTTCTAGCGAAGGAACTGATCGAGTAAATAGAAGGACATGGATATTAAGGTGCTGATGTGCATATCAGAGCACTTTTTTATATTGCCAATTTAATTTGGATCCCTCCTTCTCCCATTTGGAAAAACCCATGCCCCCACACCTGTCCTTAGCAGAGTGAGCTTGAAAAGAGATAATTGGGCTGGGTGGCATGAAAGTGAGCACTGACGTCCTCAGAAGGTGCAGGGCTGGGCTAGATATAGCTCCAGGGACCATGTGGATGCCTCTGACCCCAGGAGCCCTGTGTGGGAGCATCTTCTACTTCCTGGGAGGAGGAGTCAACACCCAAGAGGCTGAGATAGGAAACAGACCTAAGAGAAGCCCACGTGACCTTTAGCTCTCTATCCAGAATGGTATTATTTCAATTGATCTTGCTGGTTTTGCCTCAGAGCTCGTATTCAGATTCTATTCAACGATGAAGCCAAAGCTAAAAGGAGAAAGGGAAGAAATTGAATTAAACTTACTAATGTTATCCCAGTCATGCCACTGAATTTAGGTAAGCCAAGGAGAACTTTTATATCAAGTTCTGAGTTTTTCTTTTTGTGGCATTTAATTTTGTTTATCTTAGTATAGATTAGGCGTGATGAAGTCAACTAACCAATCAAACCTGAGTTTAGTAGTTAGTGAGAAGACGAAGCTTAAAATCAGTTCTCTAAACATGTTTCTACTTGCTGAAAAGAAAAAAAACCCAAAGTCTATATTTGGAGAGCTTATTCATAGATGTACACAACTTTCCATCTGTAAAATGCAGTTGTGTAGTTCTACTGGAACTAAACCTAGCTTGTTCACTCAATTATTTCACAATCCTGTCCCAATCTGACTTTTCTCTTTTATATGCCTACGTTTTCTTCTTTACCCTAATGCTGTCTATGTTCTAAGCCCCACTAATTATCCAGTACATCATCTTACCATGAGTTCTCAAAATCTATGTCTTTATCCATTTTTCCTACAGTAATACAATATTTAGCCAATTAGTACATGACATTCCACTGTAGCAAGAGTTGGAACGAACTTAGGTCGATCATCCTTATTCTGCAACTGGGGATAAGTCAGCACTCCTTGCAGTACTGGGACTGGATTTCACAAGGGTTGGTGCGTCAAGGAAGAATTGGCTGGGAGAGGAGTAAATGCCAGGCATGCAACCAGCAATGTCAAATATATAGGGAATGGAGTAAGATGGTGAGCTGATGTACAGATAATTACCAAGAGAGAGAAGAGAAGAGAAGAGAAAGAGAAAAAAAACATGAAGAGAGAGACATGCATCTCAAAACAGAAACAAAGAAGTTTCAGAAAGATTAAAAAACATCTCTCTTAATTTTACTCCCTCTCCTTACTCATTTGCCCATTTCTCTCCAGGCAGTCAGGAATGCTTGCTCCCTTCTGACAATCCGATTTCAGAAAAAGCATCA